TAGTGCTTTAAAATTTTGTATGTGAGAAATGTTGAGGTATGTAAGAACTAATAAATTTGTAGATGCCCATCTCAGAGTATGTTTGGTCCCATGCAACGGTTGGGCGTGTTTTTTTTTTAAAAAATAAATAGTAATAATAGTGCTACTTTAAAAAAAAGTATATGGCAATGATAATGCCTCTCATTTATTATACTTCATACTATTTGCTGTCCTTTAAAAATCCAAAACCCAAATAAAAAAACAGCTGAATGTAATTTTCGAAACATCATCCAAAATTGTTTTTTCAAAATATGTTTAATCAGTTGTTAAATTTTTCTAACATGAACTGCGAATTTATATCAAATAAATAGGTTTTATTGTCTTCAAACAAGGTTAATCAAATACTGAATTTAATTTGATTGATAAATTTGGTCGTGCAACGTGGTGTCAATTATTTTACAGAAATAAGACCGTCGAATGAACATTTGCAAGAGCGAGGATGCCAGTATCGCAAATTCGAACTATTTTGATTATATTCCCCTTTAGCAATCCAGGGTTAATTTGTGTATAATATAAAATCCAAATTATTTTACTTTTATTACAGGCAGTTATTCTTCTATACTCTTATTTTACCGTAGCATTTTCATTCACTTTATTTCTAATTCAGTTATTGATGAAAGTTGTGTTCATTTTCAGGTAATTAGACTTTATTTTTATTATTACTGGTTTTCTGCCTGAGTAGAGACCTAACACACAAAATCACCACTGGGACGATACACCTGATTCATGAATATTCATGAATCATTTAATTAGCATACTCTATTCTCACGAGTTGTAGGTTTTATTGTGAGTTAAAACTAAGAGGCGTGTATGCTGGTTTAAAAACGACAATTTGAATATGTTTTAATTTCTTTTATATTTTTGAACAAGACCAACCATTGATTATTGAATATTATACACAATGCAATAAATACTTTGGCAATGTTAATTTCTTTAAAAGCAATTATGACGATTTCGCATTAGGGGTTGAGGTTTTTATTGACACAATTATTATAACAGAAATGTGTAAAGTATGCATAAGTTTGTAAGTTACATATCAATTAATCTATACGTCTCATTAAAATGATATTTAATTCATTTCTCAATATCGTCTTTTAGGAATACCTCATCTGAAGTATAAGAAATAAAAATCCTAATGATCATAATTCTTCGAAAGAAAATGCCTGAATTGGTCGAAGCGTTTAGAGGTTATCTTCTTACAAATACATGTACATACAACTCTAAGTCCATCCAGTGGTGGGTGTCGTGTATAAGGCATAGTATTGGCTGGTTACAATTTGTCTTTCATCAACAGGGATAGTACACTCGTAATCAGACAAATTACTGTCAAATAAAGTTTTAAATACCAAATTTACCAGGTGCGAGTTGCAAACATCTTTGTAAACTTCTATTTGCGAGATAGGTATAGAGAAATAAGAGGCGTTTGTTTTGTGTAGATATTGTGGGGAGTATTTAGTTTAGTAGGCGATACAAACTGTAACACTAGGTATTCGTCACTCAGTAATAACCACCTCTCGTTAATATTTAAACCGGTGTTGAATCAGTTGTTAACACTTGGTTCAAACTACCATCCGAAAGCTTTGAAGCTCTTTCTGTCGGTTTAACAGGTAAATAAAAAATGCTGGAATTTGCGGTGTTAATGAGAGCAAAGGGGTTGAGCGTCCTGTAATTTTGTTTGTTTTCTTTTCTGTATACGTGAAAGATCACATTTACTGCACTGGTCGACAGTATTTCATATACAATGAAATCGCCAAATATTAAAACAAATGAGGTACCTCCTGCACGATTATATGTTTTATTGGTCCTTGTTTAATAGCGGATGCATTCTGAAAATCCGGTTAACGGCATGTTGTTCAACAAACGTATTTCAGTGTTATAAATATGTTGTGCTATACTGTTAGATTATAAACGATATTTAATTCAAATTGAAACATTGGTCGGTTCTACAGACAGCAGTTTGGTTTTGGCGGTTCCGACCCATTCGCATGACTTTACCTACATGTGTCTTTTAAAATGTCACACTTTCCCAAAAGTAAAGAATCCCCCATTTTAATAACATTTGCATATCCGAGTAGTTTTATAACCCATTTCCAAACATCTATGATTTGAGCCACCTGTTGTGTTACATATTACCATCCAAGAATCTGTAATCAAAGTATGAACAATTTCTAGGTGTTGTAATTTTAAAATTCATAGGTTAAACATGCATTATGCAAGAGCAAAATCTGCTAATTACAAGTCTTTCTTTAGGCCTGAAATGTTATCTAAATTATCAATTAGACATTAATTAACTTATCCAGACCATAATAAACTCTCGATGTCAAGGCTAGCCTTCGATGTAGGCTGGATTAGATTCCTATATGCCGCTAACGGCCAAAGATAATTAAATCAGAAAAAGTGGATAATCGAGACTGTGTTGTTTATATTAATGATTTTAGTAATGATGACCGAGACTATGCAAAAATTTCATCCGCTTCTTTCTCGGCCCATAGTGGATCAATTACCTTTACACTATCTAGTTTTTAACTATTATAGCGAGAACTGCCATCTCTTTATATTATCTCCCATAATGTATCTTTAATGTTTGGGAGGCAATATAGAAATAAAAACGAAGCGAAGAATGAACCAGAAGAACTGCCCCGAGTCAAACTATTGCAAATAGGGTTATGATCGAAGGGTTATTTATTCATTCCACATCGAATGGCATGTTCTATAGTAACACATGGGTATTTAAGTACAATTGTAAAATACATACTTCATGCTTACTTTTCCCAAAGGAAATAAAAACTGTTTCAACAACACACTTAAAGTTTTCTATAAGTTCACCAAGGGGGTGTAATTGTACCTTTTCGATTCATTTTATTTACAAATGACACAAACATCAATAGAGCAGAATAGCTCATCACATTATTTACTTGTGAAAGCAAATTTAATATACCCACGTAGTTTTTATTAAATAAATTGTTCAATTTCTACCATTGCTTTACACGTACATGTTAAATTACGTATTGTGTTATGGTAACCTCTTTATGTAATTAAGAAAATGTTGTTCAATACTCAAACTCAGTACAGTCTCGACTGTAATAATTTTATCGCCTTTAATGTCGTAATCATGCAGTAAGACGAATGGCTTGTCAGCCTGGTTTCATCTAACCACTTATGTCTTTCTTACCCACTTGTGTAATTTTGAAAACGAATTTAATATTTATTTTATTGTGTCACACTGTGCTTACAATTTAATTAACCGCATTGGCTTATCGTTTCTTTTAATACTTCGGCTTATGGCGTGTAAAACTAAGGTATATTGGTTCAGATGCGCCCGGTGTTGCTGTTTATCTTGGTAATCAGTTTGTCTCGGCTCCTTGCACAAGATTCTTCCCTTCGAATTCATAATCTAAAATACTCGTAGATTTATTCTAGTGTTAAGCTTTTGTGAGAGGAAAATTCGTTTAAGATGTCGCTGTATAGTTTAAGAAATATACACATTGTGGTAGATATTGCAAATACATATTTTGCGAAGAACACAAGATAGAGCTATACATGTATATAGTAATACAGCGGATGAACGGGTGACTGTGCCGAACAAGAAGCTTTAATAAAACTTCTTGGTGCAGACCTACATTGAGTGGTGACAATATATGACCTCAACAACCTTTGTGGACAATCAATATTGTGCATATTATTGTATTGATATAGACGCAATATTTAAATGACCTTTATATATTCTCTAATCACCCAATTTTCTGCTGAAAATCGTTGAAGTAAATTTGCATTACACCATAAGGGGTCACCTTTTCCCCTAGTTATCTGAAGGGAAAACTGCAGCATATAATTATGGGCATGATATATATTATATATAGTGTTGATATGGATTTAATATGTCCCCCAAACGTTCCATTGTCCAAATATTTTAATTATTAGTGCGGACGGTGCTAAACAAATAGAAATTATAACCAAAAGACATCGGTCTATATATCACCCAATACAGTACATTTATAATTTGGCCAAGTGAGTAAGACGTTGGCTCGCTAACCTGTTGGTCCCGTTGTTGGCCGAGAAAGTTCATCGTGCTTTTCCGGTGTGGTACCCCTTGTCTGTGGTGCAGAACGGGTGGCCTGGTAAGGGACAACGTATAGACATAGTCTTTCGGATGGTACGAAAATCCGAGGTCCCGTGAACACATTGGCGTACACGTAAAAGAGCCCTTGACGGTTGAAATTCGAAATAAGCGTAGGTCGTCCAAGCAAAATATCCCTCATAACATACTGCATGGCGCATGGCCGTCTTCATTAGCCCAGTCGGTGCAGAACAGTAGGACGTTAAACTCCATTTCATCATTACATTTATAATTTGTGTTTGTTCACTTCATTGATACGACGACTACAACGCTATATGGACCTTTCTTCTTTTTTTATTGTACACAGATATATTTATCTTAAGTTGCAGTTACACATTGTAATAAAAACATCCAGAACAATAACTCCTAATTTTATTATGGCAAAAACATACCAGTAAATATCAGAAGCAAGCAGGTATAACATACATTGTTAGCCATTTTAGCACGGACATCTCAGATGAGCAGGACACCCGTTACTAGAATCTTTATATAATACCTTGCCTTTTTCTCTTGTGATCCACGGTGGCTAAGTGAGTACGATGCTGGCTCACTAGCCAGGGGGTCGCTGGTTCGATCCCACGGCTAACCGAGAAATTCTACGGATATTCCCTCGTGATTTCCCCTTGTCAGTGGTGCAGCACGGAGGGAAACAAAACAATTCCTGTATACATATCGGTGTGGGCGTAAAATAAACCTTTTCAGTTGAAATTGGATGAAGAGTTGTTGGAATCGCCGCTGTCCAGGCAAAATTTACCTCTTAACATACTGCATGGGATATGCACGTCTTCATTAGCCCTGTTGATGTAGACAACCCCGTGTCATTAGATTTATTTTCTCTTTCCAGGTTTAGTTCCTGTCTATGCACAAGGTAAAAGGTCAGAGCGTTTTCAATAAAATTGTCATTTATTATTTTTAGAAATAAATCTTTTGAAAAACGTAATCACAATTGTATTTGTTTTCATGCTAATGCGAAAATGGTAAGGTGCGGGGGTCATGTTACCCCGATACAAAGGTACTTATATGTTGACAATGTTGAGACTTATCATGTGGCGTGGGCTACGGAGCCTAAGTGGGTAAGACGTTGGCTTGCTAGCCTGGAGGTCGGGTGTTCGATCCCTGCATTGGCCGAGAAAGTTCATCCAGATTTTCCTGCGTGGTTCCCCCTTGTCAGTGATGCAGGACGGAGGGTCTGACAAGGATAGCTATGTAGTCGTTCGGATGGAACGAAAAACCGAAGTCCTGTGTACACATTGGCGTGCAGATAAAAAAATCTCTTGGCAGTTGGAAGTCGATGTAAGAGTAGGCCGTAGTGCCGCTGTCCGGGCAAAATTTCCCTCATAGCACACTGTATGGCGTATGCCCGTTTTCATTAGCCCAGTTCGGAGCAGAACAGTAGGACGTTAAACCCCATTTCATTTTATTTCATATCATGTCTCTATTTTGTATTTACTATGGGTAGATAAGGAATTTTACTCAGCTTGATAGAACAGCAGCATTTCTCTTCTTTGATTTCCAAATTTCAGTGAGGGTAGGGGTTGGTATGTCCATATTAACCCCAGATACGCCTTAAGAATGAAAGGGGTATTAGGTGTTTCTGAGCCAGAGCCAGAGCCAAACTCTATCTGTAAGCCCAATCAATTCACATACACCCAGCCCGTGCGTAACAATTCACGAATATTTATATTTATTCGTTCAGTGAAAAGGCCAATGAGAATATTTAAATTGTTTTTCACCGACTGTCCGAGATAGCTAACTTATAACTCTAACTTGATATATTAAAATATATTCCCACGAATTGCATACTATTTCCACCATTCGATTTCTAAGTTGCAGTGGCCACTCTTTCCAAAATTGCTAATACTTACACACATGAGGAGTTCACATGGCAAACAAACCTTTGTACTTTCAAAGATATTGTTGTGGAGTGGAACTGGGCTTATGACTTCAGAACCAAAATCAGGTAATTAAATGGCTTCTGTTGAAAAATTTATCAGAAGAAAACATTCCAATAAAGATCAGAATTTACAAAGAAAACCCATAAAATAAAATAAAATCGAAAACGTGGTACTTTCTTACGTTAAACAAAAGCTTACTGAGATTGAATTGTTAATTCTATATAAAAGATTGGGACAGACAAACTACGATTGAAGAAAGACGATTTTCAATTTTTGACATAAAAGGAGCATAAACAGACTTTTGTTCTTTCAAGAAATTAAATTTTCCGGTTGCTGAAGAAACTGGAGACCAAAGTAAAGGAAGACTGGAGAAACCGCAATCAAAGAGCACTAATTTGAAACAAAGTGTATGCTCAGTCACGACATTGAAACCTAATCTCTTTAGGTGTTGAAATTGAAAAACATGATATTCCAGCCAAACTCCCTACACGGAGACTCCAAATATCGTTTTCGAGATTTCAATACATTTTTTCGATATTATTTGTCAATGGGGGACATTAAGACAAAAGATCTGGAAGACCATTATCACTTGAAAGTGTTAAGATTGGATTTATCTATTTACACGTACTATACGGGCGTCTGTGACTCGCTCCACCGATCTATTTTTTAACAAATCAGCATAGCCTTTTTAATCAAACCAATTGGCGAGTCAATAGAGCGACACACGCTATAATTTCCCGACTCCGCGATTCTAGCTCAGATGCTTTATTAAAGCTGGCATGATTCGTGCCTGTGCATCTTTTTCTGCTGTTATAAAAATTCTATAGACCGAGGGAAATTACTTCCTCTTTTGATTAGGAGCTACTCTCGAACACCAAGTGAAAAGTTTCATTTACCTAATCAAACGTAGAAACATTAATCAAGGCCAAATTGGATTCATATTGGTGGTTTCTTTCAATAAAACCATTGAAATAGTACTAATATAATAAAATAGCCTATATGAATTATTACCCTACTTGTAGCATCCATACTTGTCACTCTACATCTTGAATGCTTTGAGGTCTGATGAATAATACGAAGCCATAAAAAAAATATGTCTTTATCGTTGGTTTCATTTTATTAAACTTCCAGTTAGCCTACCATTTTAATTCAAATCTCAAAACTCATTGATGGTTAAACACTGCCAATCAGTACAGAAGAACGAATGGAAGTTTAGTCACGTCACTTTGTTATTTCTTTCGTAATCTAAAAATAGAAATCGACTTTTTGTCATTCTGTAAAAAATACGACGTAAATCATGTTTTAATGGCTCTTGTACAAGTCCTTAGAGAAAAAAAGAAATTTCTTTGATTAGAGTTATCTCCCCTTAGAGGATCCTAATTAAACACGTGCTCAGTTAAATGTTTTATGTTTTCAATCAGTCCGCCTCATGCTTGCTCATGTCTTTAAATATTGTTTTTTACCGTATGACAATACAAGTCTGGCACTTATCAAATTAAAAGATGTTTTCCGGTGACTTTGATTTCGATAGCGGTAATTGAATAACCGGAATTAATGTTTAAATAACCGAAAATCGGGTCAAGGTGTCAGTAGTCTATTAATAGCTAATAACTTATCAGTTGACAATAGGCGCGGAAAAAGTTTCGTTTCGGTAGACCCAGATTAATCATATCTCAGTTAAATTTGCTTTAGGGAATCGATAACTTTTTTATTTGGTTCTTTCAAGTTTTAAAGTTGGCAACACAACAATTAGAAAAGGCATGTTCTGGTTCCACAGTGAGCTGGCTTTAAAAAGAAACCGAAGGACTATAATTTAAATTTAACAACATTATATGCAATCGTAACCAAAGGAAAACTTATAGAATTAACAAATGTGAGATATTTTAGAAAGACTAAAGCATTCATGAAACATGTACCATAATTGTGTGACGTTTTGGACCTGGTGGCATAAAGTTTCATTACGGTAGACTCGGATTAATCATTTCTAAGTTCGATTTACTCTAGGGAACAGACAACATTCTTGTACTTGGTTCTGTTTAATTTTATTCATTGACAACACAAAAAATAGCAAAGTATGGTGTGGTTCCACAGAGAGAACCACGATGTCTACGGAAATTATGCAATAGAAAGGATATTAGTACATCCAGATCCCAGATTCAAACAAATCAATAGTCTTCCATTTTAAATTTAACTTTATTTGCACACCCACACAGAAATAAAACCTTACAGAATTAACAAAGGACAGATCTGTTCAATGGGGTTCCGTTAAACTTTTTAGAACTACATTTACTAGGGCATGCCCTTGTTAGTTTATAAAAGAGGTATTCCAGTTTATAAAACAGGTATTCCATTTTAAATTTAACATCATTATTTCCAAAGGAAAGATATTTCAAATTAGAATCACGTTAACCCTTTTAAAAATACTAGAGCATACCCTTGCTCATTTATGAAATACGTCTTACATTTTAATCTGACAGCATTATTTGCATATCTAAAGAAAAGAAAATTTGTAGATATTAAAGAAGAGATATTTCAAATATTTAGACATCACTCGCGCAGGTAAACTAAGAAAAAATTGTAACGATTTTTGGTAAGCAAATTTGAACAGTTGACAATACAGCCCGAGATCATCGTTTGCTGTGAGGTGCGTATCAGACAGCGTCACCAGATGATATGATAACGAATTGTGACGTCTTATAAATGTTTGTGATTTCAAAGCGCAATTTATCCTCACTGATTTTCAATTTAACCATCGTTTAAGTGTTAACGCCAGAGATAGATAATTATGGCCTTTATCAGTGACTGGTTAATAATTTTTATTAGCTGATTTCGATCTCTACACGACGAGACCCAGTGATTTGAAAAATCTGATATGGCTCTAGTCACACGCACTTGACTCCATTGAAGTAAAAATAATCATTCCGTTAATCATACTATTAACCAGCCTCATTTTCACAGAACACGTGATTGGCACCATCCATCACTTTAGGACAGAAGAGTTGATTGTCAAGGGAGATAACAATTTGATTCGTCAATATGAATGACAAGTACTGTGCTCCCGCGAAGAAAGCATTGTAATCGGTTTAAAGAGATTTCTTGTTTTTGGACATGTGCTATAACAGAAATCAGACTCAAACCATCGGCTGTTCACCAATCAAAAACATAACGTACCTCGTCAGCAACTACTAAGGGGCACAGTGGCGACATCACATCTTCCTTCGTTTTGAAATTACTTCGGCAGGATATCTACTAGGGTTTTATTATTATGATTGTTGTAGGCGGGGAATCATTAATACAAATCAGGTAAACTGATTTATGGACAGTCAGGATAGAGGGCACGTTGATAGCCTGCTGTTGATAAAATTATAGATATCGAAAAGAGGTCATACTATTCTATAATCAGATATTATGACTATTTGTTTTGGTCTGTACATAACGAGGTCCTTTCATTTTTACGTTCACCTGTACGTGTACTTACTTACCCCGGATTCGACAAAGACATAATTAGTATCTGTGTGGTCTAGAATACCCGTGAGTCATGCACGACGGGTCAATCTTGGTTTTACGAACATAAATTCTATGCTAGGGACCATCATCTGGCCGAACAAGAAGTTATTGAGCCATGTTCGGAGAAATAACCTAGAACTTAGTATGTTCTATATAATGGTTAAATGGGTTATATTTGCAAAACATTTAGCACGTTGTGATGATTAACGATAAGTAGTTCATTATGTTTTTAGTGCTCTATTTGGATTTTTTAAAAAGTCTATAAAGGTAACCAAACAAATAAATAAAAAGGGTTTGGCAAGAATGTCCTAGTAGGGTTTTATTGTTTATTGATTAAAGCATGGCGATTTATATATTCAATATCAGTTAAAAAGCGGTTGACCACAAGATGACCACCTTATTTCTTTACTTTTACAATATCATAATATATTTAAATGACCACCGTATAAACATTCACACTACAGGTAGGACGGTAATAGGTTCACTTACCAGCGGTGTTCTACCGTTACGCCTGTCTTTATTTCACACCTAGGAAGAT